TACCACACCAGACAGCTCCAGAGTCTGTGTTAATTAAAAGACACACTCTCAAAGAAGCCTGAAGGCTAATGCCTGGTAGTGCTTTTGTGGCAAACCCCAGATACACAGCAAGGAATGGGATAAACCAGAAGACTCTGGACCCTAAACAGTGCCCTATCAGCTCTATCTTCAGAATAAATCACAAGGTTGAGAATCTGAGAGGATAGACTCAGATGAGAAATATATTTCCTTTCCCCAAATCACCAGAAGACTCCAGAAACTCTGGAGCACTCCCACATCCCAAGGAAATATATTGGAGCCCACACCTGGTAAATTGTCCCAGATGTGTCCCAGATGTACCTAGAAAGTAGCACATCCCAGCTTCCACCTGGAGTTTAATGGCCCAGCCTCTGCCTGAGCCCTGGGGAAGCATCAGCTTCAGCAATCCTAAGGTGGTGCCAAGCAGAGAGTAGCCAGAGACCAAAGGATTTGATGTAAGGCTACACCACACACCAGCTCTGTGGCCTTGAGCAAAATGCTCAAAGAGATCTTCTCTGAGTAGCACCCTGCCAGGAAGGAAGCTACTATCCTTCATCTCCTAACACCTGTGACAGATCCCACTTCATGATCGGGGACTGAATCTCTGCAAACCCTTTTCTTTGTCTCCCTAGTGGAGCCTGCTAATTCAGGGTAGTGGAGGGAAACTGTGAGGCTGAAGGGAGGTAGGGCTTGTCCCCACCAATTGCTGCCTTCCCTGAGAGCAGGAGCTGTTGAGGCTCCTTCCTCCAGAAGTGGCTGCTCTTTCCCACAGCTGTAAAGTCATCCTGTTTGCAGTTTTCCAAGACCTCCAGAGCCAGCCTGGAGTGCTCCACTTGAAGACCCCAGTACACTCAGGCCTCTCCTCCAAGTTCCCAATTTTAATTAGCCCAGACTCTTCTCATTTTTCTCCTAGCCTTAACATGAAAGCTACCTCCCATGTTTCATCCCTATGTGACCGTTTATTCTGTTTTTGCATCTTTGCACTCACCTAGACAACAATTTTAGAACAAGTTCATAAGTTTTTCTTACACTAAATTTCCTTGAAATAACTGATGGTGTTTCTCCTTCCTGAGTGATAAAGGGCTTAGCATGCTAGACCCCATTATTGTTACTGTTATTAGGCCTGGACAAATGGCTTATGTTTTCCATGGATATGATGTCCTATGGTATAGGGATACTACCTTGTTTAATCCGCTCCAGTTGCCCATGAACTCTCTGTTATTACTGCCGAATTTTAGCCTCTTTGTGGAAAAAACCTCTTCCCCATCACACCTTCAGACCACTTGGCTAAAGAAAGGGCTGCCATGTGTTTATAAAATCCCACTTCTCCTTCACCTCCATTAAAAATCCAGCTTCTGAAACCTGGCCAGTTGGAGGCCTTTCTTTAACATTTCAAATGGGAATTGAATAAAAAGTTAGCTCATCTTCAATTGCAGAAGTCATGAAGTGTCTAGCTCAGGGAGAATTACTAACCATATGTGCCTTCATGGGAAATTGGCCAGTCTTTAATGAGTCCCAACTACAAGGAAGTTACTTGTGGCTCAAGAACTGCTTGTTTCTTCCCCATCGTCTCACAGTATCATTGTTCACTCATTCCATTCCTTGGATTCTAGAGACCTAAATTATCACTATTTTTGGACTGACCCCTTCTAAGAGGGCTTCTTGCTTAGGTATAATACTGCATCATTATACAAATGCAGAAAATGAAACATTAGGAGAAAGATCTTTTAAGACTTGAGGCACATCTAACTCCAAAGCTTGCACTCTCCTGAGAGTTCAGTGCCTCCTTTATAACCAAAGATAAAAATAGATTTAAGAAAAGTTAAATGAGTTCATAATCAAACTTTCACAGAAAATCTATTGGGTGGTCAGACTGCACAGCAATCCTTCAACCTCAAGTTAAGTGGGAGGTCCACTGGGCTGTCTTAAATGGGTTGTGGCTCAGTATAGAGCACTTGCCTCACACATGTGAGGCACTGGGTTCAAGCCTCAGCTCCACTTAAAAATAAATTAAAAAAAAAGAAAAGGGATAAATTTTCATTACAAAGAGAATATCATTTACTGTTTGTTTCTCCAGAGAAATGAAAAGATAGGCCATAAGTACAGTTTCTGGGAGACCAAGAATCAAAATGGTGGAATGGAGCAATTTCCAGACAAGGAGGATGCTGGGATACAGGAAGAATAATGAAGGATTAGTGTCTCTAGCTCCATATTCAGGTTATTTATATCTTGCTCTGGAAACTGTCTCTTTCCTTCTTTCATTTTAAATTTATTTTAAAGCTATATACTGGACAAAAGGTAGAACAGGCCATTCCCTATCAATAGTTAAACATAGCAATGGGGAAAAACCTAGTGGCTGAGGCCCTACTGACACGTGGCAGCACACTCCGGAACCTGGGAGAAGAGATCAATGCTCACAGATGTCACCTGTTATAAAGATTTAAGAGACAAACTCCCACCTGCTGAAGGGATGAGGGTTGAAGAGATGATCAGTCCATAAAACAGAAGATACTCTAAAAAGGCCTTCTCTTGGGGCTGGGGTTGTGGCTAAGTGGTAGAGTGCTGGCCTTGCATGTACCAGACCCTGGGGTCCATCCTCAGCACCACATACAAAAATAAACAAGTGAAATAAAGGTGTGGTGTCCAACTACAACTAAAAAATAAATATTTTAAAAAAACATTTTTAAAAAAAGGCCTTCTCTTTAGGAAAGCCCAAGTAGATAAACCTCCCACACAAAACCAAGAAGGGGCTACACATGACATTTACAAGGTGGCCCAGGCAGCTGGCCATCACAAAGCAGACTACCTGTTAAGGGAGATATGGTATCTCGGGGTTTTCATCAGTGAGCTGGAGTTATTTGTTCTGAAAACGTGCCCTATTTTCAGCCTGGTTTCCTTGGCAGTCAGAAGAATAACTAATCAAATGCCTCATTCAGAGCTTTATGAATGAAAGCATATGTATTTTAAGAGCTTTGGCCTAGCACACAATTGCCCTGATAAACCTTTTCAGAGTTGGAGGGAATGAGTTTTAAGTAAGTGGTGACATTTAAACCAGGAGGAACTTCCAGGCCATGATTACACAGCCACACTCCCAAGCACTCTCCTCAAGCTCCAGAAGACAGGTGAGGGGCAAATTACCTGGGTGAGAGTTCTCTAAGATGGATGGATATTCAGGTTCCCCACTGATTGATCCTACACAGTTCATGGAGAATCTTCAGACTAAACAAATAAGCTTCTTTAAAATTAATTATTCACTTAGCACATGTTAATTGAGTGCCTGCTTTATCCAAGGGCATATGCTAGGCCCTTGGATAAAGGGATGTTTTATGAGCCTCTTTGGTTTTGCCTTCAAGGAACTTAGACATCTATGGGATGGTGGATGTGTCCCCCAAAACATATAACAGAGTAACGCTCCAGCCCATCGTTCTGTGCCCATCCCAAGGACCAGTTATTACAATTACATTACATGAGTTAAAGTTCCATGAATAGTAGATTTTTTTCAGTCTTGTCTATCATGTGCCTGATACATAAGAAGCTGTCACTGTTTTTTGGGTGAACATGGTAATAAATTGTGCCAGTGGAGTTGTGTTTTGAAGGAAGGGTAGGATTCATGGTAACATAGACAGGTGAGGGGGCATTATAGACTTGGTGGTAGATTGGGGGTGGAGTGGAGTGAGGAGATAGAAATGGCAGGAGCAAATATGCAGAGAGAATAAAGCCCTATGTGGATGAACTGCAGGTTCACTGTGATTAGACCCTGTGATAGGGTCAGGATGCAAAGAAACTGTAAAGGTAGGTGAGGCCAGACAATGATAGGCGCTGAATTTAATCTATGTAAAGAGATTAGGTTTATCTACATAGGATGGCCTCAAGTTTCAGTTTCAGGGGTGGTTTTGCCTGTTGTTCTAGGGTGACTATTAATAGTGTGCCTTTCTTACTCAAGTATCCTTGTTTAGATGATGTTTAGACCACAAGCTTAGCTTGGGAAGCTCAGTGCCCCACAGGGCTTTGTGGAACTTGGGGGCAGGAAATGTGACATCCCCAGTCCAAGTAATTCAGGACAGAGACTTTTAGCTAATAGTAAATCCTTAAGAGTGGCCAGGATACAATGAAATTGACATTAGGGAATGCAGATTGTTCCAGCCTCTTCAGAAATTAAAAGCCTTGAAAATGTCTATGTCTCTTGGCCTATTCCACTTTTGTAAATCACTCCTGAGTAAATCATTCCAAATGCAGAAAATGTTTTCTATGTAGATATTCATCACAGAACTACATGCAGTAGGTCTAGAAAACACTCAATCTGGCATAACGGTTGATGATCAAGAACATAATATCTATCTAGTCAATGAGCTATAATGCCTATTTTATTTACTACTGTATCTCCAGTAGATGGAATGGCATCCAACATATTTGTTTAGTAAATGAATAAACAAATAAAATGTCTTAGAACTTGAAACAAAAAAAGCATAAAATAATTTTTTTAAATTATATATAAATGCCAACATACACACATGAGCTCAACCATATTTTTAGAAAGAGACGCATATGTAATTATACATATACAAACTTTTAAAAAATGAATCCTCAAAATGTAAATAGTGATTATTTGGGGATGGTGGAACTACTGATAATTTCCTTTTTAAAAAACTTTATTTCTGTATATACTCATATTTTCAAGAATGAATATGATTACTTTTATACTGGAGAGAACAAGTCAATATCATTTCTTAAAAAAGGAAGGGCTGGATTTAGGCAGATTTACACTTTCACAACCAGGATGCACTCTGAGGGTTTCCAGGCAGTCTTGTGGGTGTGAGTCCCCAATCCCAACCATGATGCTTCTCTGTAGGAAGGTTAACTCCCACTGCAGTTGGCAAGGGTCAATTATCTGGCCCTTCTGGATTTAGAGAGAGATGCTGAAAGGTATCAACCTTCACGCAAGCAATTTCTAAACTTCAAAAATTATACCCAGCAAGGTAGAAAACTGTTGATATATTTTTAAGTGAAACAAAGCAGAATGCAAATGGGCACATTTTCTCTGCTTGGAACTATGCAAACATGCATTTGGCAAAGAATGAAAAGGCATCACAAGCAACACATCCACATGCAACCAGAAATAAGACGAACAACCAAAATTGAGTCATTTTTTAAGTAATAACAGGTAATAACAAATCCAATAGTAGGTGTTTTCAGGTGCTCACCCAGTAACTCTAGGCTTCAGGTCAATCTGTTTCTAGAGACAAGACTCCTAAATTTAATGTGCATGAAATTAAGCTACAGATCTTGATGAAATGTGGATTCTTATTTAGTAGGTCTGGAGTGACAACAAGAAATTGACATATCTGACAGGTTCTGAGAAAGGCAGAGGCTGCTAGTCTTCTGACCATACTTTGGATAGCAAGTGTCTATGGTCTGGTACATAAGCAACTGGGATCATTAGGAACCAGGAACAGGATATAGCCATCCAGGTGGGTTGTTCCACATTAAACAAGGGAAGAGGAGCACAGAAGATTCTCAGTGAGGCTTCCACCCACCGCCCAATTCCAAATACCAAGCACCTTCAGATACTCAATCTGGGGCCCCTATTCCGAAGTATGCCATCACCCTAAAGTATATTTTTTCTCAAGCATCTTGCACCATTGGGATTTATAAAGAGAAGCAAACTTCAGGCACTTGCATGGTATCTGGAGAGGACTGAGGCCTCAATTCTTTGGACAATGATATCTTCCCAGGATGGATACCAGAGTCTGGGCTTTTCTGACAGATGATCACATGAAACAATCAGCAACAGATTGCACCAGAGGACAAGCACAAGCTGTGTCCAAGAGTGGCTCCAGACCTGAAATCCAGGAATGATGGGATGCCCCCCACAGCTTGCAGCATGATAATGTGAAAAAGAAAATTGAATGGGAGATGGGAGATGTGACCAAAGTTGAGACAAGACAAAAAGTTCCAGGAAGGGAACAGATGACTCAAACAGCCCTTGTCTCAGGAGTCAGTTGCACAGGTTCTTTGGTCAGGACAAAAGATACCATGTGACTGCTCAGTCTGCTACTGCCTGACCCTTTTTTAAGATTATCGGTGTAGTGTCAATGCTGGTCTTCTCACAATGAGGATCCTTGAGGACCCTGGCACTGAATACCCTACCTCACAGGACCACAGTGTATCCAGCCATGTCCATTCCATTGGAGGTCTAAGTAGGAAGAGCCAGGCTGGGACATCACTTCCAAGGTAACCCAGGGGCAATTCTGATATGTCTTTCTAAGAACAGGATATAGGTCCACATACAAGCCTTGGATCTGGTTCAAGATGAAGGTAACTGGGCCTTGACCTCCATAGGGGAGATAATAGCAAGTGCTTTCTCCCTGCTCCTGTCAGTCAGGGCCTTATTAAGTGAGAATCAGGAATCCCTGCCCCTACTTCTGTCAAAGGCCACTGGGATGCTAATGTCCTGGGAACACTTTGAAAGAACCATGGTTTATCACTCAGGGCAAGTCATCTTAGTAGTCAGGGCATGGATGAAAGAGGCTATAGACATAGCCTTAAGGACTATGTGAAGCAAAGTGGGTCAGCACAAGGGAGAGCCACAGAGTTTATGTCCACTTTCCTTGACAAGAGAGGTCCTGGAAGGCAGGAAAGACTATGGGTACAGCAGCCTGACCCCTGACCCCTTTCTATGCTGGACCATAGGCAAGTGACCTGAGCTATGGTCTAACCCTCAGCAGCAAGTGGCACTGTACCATTGATTTGCAATGGAAAACTTTTCTGGAGCTGCCTCCCTATGCCAGAGCCCATCCTAGGCATGGGGGATATGAGTTCTAAGGAAATAAAGATGTCATTCACAGGCTGGGGATATAGCTCAGTTGGTAGAGTGCTTGCCTCACATGCACAAGGCTGTGGTTAGATCCCCAGCACCACACACACAAAAAAATTGTCATTCACAATGTGCTGACAATTTCATCAAAAAGAGATGCTTTCAAGCTATTGTCCATATAAGGTAGCAGATGCAGTGAAAGAGCAAAAGAATAGAGTAGATGCGAACTGTGGAACTCTTTCTGCAGAGGACATTGAGGACTTAAGACAAGATCCATCTTTTTCAGCTGGATTCAGGCTGTGCTAATTGTATGACAATTCCACTGCCTTGACTCTATGGAATTCTTACTACTTGCAAAGCACATACACACACATCTCTCCCAGGGAGCAAAGGTTGACCAAAGTTCAGAGCTCTATCTCCAAGTGCTACTTTCCTCACTCCACAGTGGCCTCAAGGTTTATGGTTGGAAAAAATCCCTGGTTTCCCAGGACAGGCATCTGTTACTGAGTTACTATAGTGAACCCTTCCTGTTATAGCCAGACATCTCCGGCTCTGGCATCCTGCAGCTCAAGTCACAAGGTTCACTGTGATCTGTAGAGTTTAGATTCAGAATTCTTCCAAAAACAAATAGCCGAACCATCTGAATGTCATACTTCACAATGAAAAGGATGCAAAAACAGGTTCTTGGCAGACTATTGGGACCTGAAATCCAGGAATGATGGGATGCCACCCACAGCTTGCAGCATGTGCACTTAGTTAAATGGAAAGTCCTGGCAAGAAACTTGGCAAAGAGAAGCCCATAACCTGGTTAAATGGGGATGGACCTGCCACTTAGCCTCAGAGACCCTTTGGAGACTTCTGTGTGTACTGTGGACAGGGGCAGATTCTCAGACTCCTCTAAAGGGGAATTCTGTTGGCAGGTCAGCACCAGGGCCTTGACCTCCTTCTTGAAGTTGGTATTAAGAAAGCCATAAATGAATGGGTTGACACAGGTAGAGGCCATAGCAATCAGGTGGCACACCAAGAAGATGAGGTTGCTGTGGCAGACAGGGATGACTTCATGATGCCAGTCCTCCAGGGTATTGAATACATGGAAGGGCAGCCAGAATACTGCAAAGGCAGCCACCATTGCCATAAGCATCAAGTTGATCCTTTTCATCTGCCCAGCTTGCCAGCTGTAGGTGCCCTTGCGGAACACACGCCCCTGCCTCCGCAGGCGCTGGTAGATGCGCACATAGCAGATCAGAATAAAGCCCAGAGGGATGCAGTACTGGAAGAGAAGCAAGAAGGTGGTATAGATAATGCGATGGTGGTACAGGGGCCAGGACTCAGTACAGACCACCTTGTCCACCAGAAAATCCAGAGCCTTGGAGTGGTTGTTGTGGAAGACGTTCTCCAGAATACTGTTAGTCAGAAAGGGCAGGGAAAGAAAGCAGGCAATGAGCCAGATGGCCACAATTCCCATGTAGGCCTGGGAGATGCTGGGCTTCCAGCCTGTTGGGTTGATAATGAGCTGATGCCTCTCCAGGGCCACAAGGACAAGTGAGAGGATGGAGACTGTCACTGACATACACTGGATAAAGGCTGACATCTTGCAAAGGACCTTGCCAAAGATCCAGTAGTCCATGATGGTGTAGATGACTGTGAGTGGCTGGCAGATGAGGCACATAAGGAAGTCAGAGAAGGCCAGATTGGCAATAAGAAGGTTGGTAACATTGTTCTTCTCCTTTTGCTTCAGGGTCACACATATCAGGCAAAGATTTCCTAGGACCCCCACAATGGTCTCAATGCTGTAGAAGGTGATGATGAAAGCCATTGGGTTCACAGAATCCTGGCAGTGGTCAGAGAAGTTATATAGAACTCCATTGAGTTTGCTCCTGTTTTCACCCTGTGAGGATCCTGGGAAGAGCAAGGCCAGGAAGTGAGAGGTGTTCATGGTGGATTCGAGAAGATTCCAGGAGCTCTTGAACTAAGGGGCCCACTTCATATGTGATGCCTGCAAGGCAAACAAATAGGACTCAGGGATCATGCCTCCAGTATGGAATCCAGGGAGAAGGTTCTGGCTGCTTCTCTCTCCCATGGCTATCACCTTGGGACAACAGGAGCTGTCACCTAAGGCTCAAGGGAAGAGACTGGCATCTAATAAACATTACGCTATAGGAAGCACTTTTGCATGTTGGGGATCACATGGTGTTTTGCATATGTTAGCTAGTTTATTCTGAAATGTAGGCATCAACCCATTTCAAAGATGTGAGGCAACTTGCCCCCAGCCACACAACTAATAGGTAATGGGTCCCAGGTACAAAATGAGATCTGTTTGATGCCAGAATTTATTCCACACATTCCCTCTGACTTCAGCGTTCCAATCTGTTTTGATGATAAACAAGTTAGAGAATCGTGTGCAGAGTTTTCAGAGGCAGAATTGTTCAGGGAGTGAATTCTACCCAGAAAACTCTTTGTTGCATTTTAGTCAAGTAGAGATAGCAATAAATGTTGCTGTTCACAGTGACTTTGGGAGCCTCCCCTCACACCTCATGCCCTTTAGGGCAGAACCACTCCTTGGAGCTCAACACAAAATGCACCCTCCCAGTCTCAGTCCCTACCTTCTCCGGCAGTCTCATTGCTCAGGTGACACTTGGCAAAGGTGATGACTTTCTGGTATGCAAAGACTAGCTCACCAGCACACCAGATTCTTCCTGCTGCCCCCATATGTGCACACAGTCCTGGCCGAGGACATGGGCTGCCTATCATTCTCCCTGGAGCTCACACCATGTGTATGCTCAAGTCACCTGATGCAATTTGTAGTTCCTAAATACACTAAATTGTTCCACACTTCCAAGCCCTGCCACAGGCTATTCATTCTTCCTGGGGCCTCCTCAGCACAAGGGACCCCTGAACTTGTACTCCAGAGCCTCCAGGAAGTAATGCCAATGATGGACACTTTGACATGTAGAGTTACCCACCCTATTACAACATATATCATTACAACTTACCACACAAGTTCACAGGTTCTCTAGTTGACACAGGCTCACAGTTCTCAATCTTCATTAAATATGAAAATTACCCTGGGGACACACTAAAAGTACAGACTCCAGGGCCCCTCATTCTGGAATGCAGTGGGTCTGAAATGGGGCCCAGGAATCTGTAGTTTAACAAGTGCATTAAAAGATTCTGATGCACATGATTGCCGGGCCCTATTTTGAGAAACACTGTTCATAGCATAAATTCCTATTTAAGATGTTCAATAATTCCCATATATTAATTGTGTTTAGTTTTTAACATAGCGATCTTCTTCATGATCAAGTTCCAAGTTAAACATAATTCTTACAGAGTAAGGCCAAATTAACCAGAGATCAGTAATTATTTCTCAGCTGTCATAATGTTATTCAATATACATTTGACTTATAGAGTAAGTCTTGTTTACTTACAGAAATGAGTCATTTTATAAGGTCAAGTCAGGAACTTTCCTGACAGCTTACAGTCTGGTTATTTGGGACCCAGATCTCAAGATGCATGATGGTTTTGCCAGCACCATGATTTTTTTTTCTACCATAAGGGCCATTTGAAGTTAAACGTGACAAAATAAAGTTCACAGGACCAAACACATGAAGCAATCCACAGCTGCCACTGATGTACTAGCCTTAGATGCAGCAAATGGGATAGACATCCAAGGATCTGTATGACCATTAGCCAGAGCAGAGCTAGATCATCAGTGAGGGGCAACACCAGCAAATTAAAATTGCCAGCTGCTCTAGCATGATCAGAGGGGAGCTACTGGGCAGAGAGGGATCCAGAAAATAGTCACTGCTTCATTTATTCATCTACTCAATTAACATGTGTGAAGCCCTAGTCTGAAGGCAAGGGCTGCAAAGATGACTCATATAGCCATGGCCATCCCAGACCAGGAAAACTGACCTCTAGGAATGCAGGTGGACCTCAAGGACACATTGCTATTGCCAAAACCGGTGTGAATGGGGTGCCTGTGAATTGGGAGATGAGAGAAGGAGCAAAGAGATTAGAGAAGTGGCATTGATCTTAGGCTCCAAGACTGCAGACAAGTCACCCATACAAATAGACAAAGAAGAGAAGGGAATTCAAGGAGCAGAGGCAGAAAAAAGGAGAGCCTCCAGGGGAGGAGTTCAGAGTAACTGGAGCCAGGGTGTGTGGAAGGGAGTGGCAAATGAAGAGGCTGGAGAGACAGAATGCTAGGTAAGAGAGGGATGCTAGATAAGCCACTAAAAAGGTGCCAGCAAGCTAAATGCATTCCAGAAAGATCATTTGGATACACAGAACAGATTGACGGAGAGGGCTATAACAGGAGAATAAGGGCTCTGAAGAAGGCAGAATTGGGATTCAGCCTGGCTTGCAGCTCCTTTCTCAGAGAACTGATGAAGAGTTAACTTGCAGATGTTAACACACCATTCCAACACCACTGACTAGACTGCATGGATGCCTGAGCCCAAATCAGCTGTTAAGCCCTTTTAGCTGCTTCTGGAAACAGGACAGAGGGTTTGAGAGAGCAATAAAGTAGGATGCACATGACTGGGGGCCAGGAAAGAAGTGAAACTATCCATTGGCCCTTGCATCTTTCCCCAGAGCTGTAGAGGCTAGGAAGAGCCATCCTGGAGCAGACTCCACAAATTTATGCCTGGAGGGGCCCTACGTTCACAGGGACTGCAGATTTCCAGAAACACACTCCAGGGGCAAGGCAACAGCAATTCAAATCCTTGAGCTCCTGGTCAGCAAGAAAGCTGACTTTTTTTCACAGCGAGTGCTGGGAAGTGCGGCAGACTCCTACACAGAACCAGATAAGGAGGGGAAAAGGATCCAGGTGACCCCAGGGACTTGGGAGGCTATCATGGCACAGCCCTGACTTCAGCAATTGGAACTAAAGAATCCAAGGTTAGAAATGACCAGAGTGAGACCATGTGGCTATAAAGGGAGTGGGTCACCTGGCACCTGGAGCCTTTACACCAAAGAAGGGACTATGGGCCTGGCTCTCAGATCACCTCAGGGTCTCTTGAATCAAGAACAAGTTCCCCTGTAACATAGATACAGCCATCCTGCTATGTGAAAAAAGGGAAGAGTATTGCCCAATGATCCTCCACGTGCCAGCAAAGTATATAATTGCCCTGAGTTCAAATCCCAGCTCTGCAATCTATGAGAGGGTACATATGCAAGGATTGCTTAAACTGTCTGAGCCTCAGTTCCTTCAGCTGTACAGCAGGCGATGTGAGTAACACCCATGATGCAGAGTTGTCTGGCTCCCTCCCAGGTCAAGGATGAAGAGACAGATGGAAATTAGATAGATAGATAGATAGATAGTTAGATAGATAGATAGATAGATAAATGGTTTCGGGCCCCCACTTCTGGAACTCTTTTTGGTTTAGTCTCCATCTTGGTTCTTTGAGCAAATGGGTGTAATTGGATGGGCCAGCTTCTGTTAAGGAGCTTTATTAGCCACCTGACAAGAAGTATGCTTCCCCATTTTGTAACCAGAGCAACCTGGCACATAGTAGGTACAGATCAAATGTTATTTCCCTTTCTACTCATTCCACCAACCCCACCTAAGAGACCTCAGCACCCCTAAGAAGAGCTGGACAGTCAACCACACAAGTCCATTCCCCCTCTTGGAAAAGAGACCACAAGGAGGGAGGGGCTCTCCTCACCATGGAGGGCTCAAGCTTTCCCAGGAGACCAAGGGCAGAGGAGACAGCAGCTTTTACTTGCCGTCCCACTGCATGCTAGTTCCCACTATAGTCCTATTATGAAGGACTTTTTATGCTTATCCTGATAAAATTGCCAGTATCCAACCGTGTTTGATCACACATAAAGTTGACAAATTCAACTGGTTCAATCAGCCTCATGTTAAAAAGCAGAACATTGAGGCCCAGTGAAATGAAAGGTCCTGGCAGAAGTCCCACAATTTATAAGGAACAGAGCTGAAGCCGGAATCCTGGGCAGTTTGGCTCGGAAATCTTAGGTTCTTTTGCTCCCTTTTTAAATATAGAGAGATTTTGAAGGGGGAAAGGGGAGTTTGTACCAAAGCAAGAGACAAACTGTTGCACAAAAGTGACAGGGCACAACTGGAGATTGACATCTCATCCTCATGGAGCTCAGGGCCCAGCTGAGTGTCTGAAGGTACTGCCATGTGTCTTTACCCAGAACAAAAACATTCCCAAAGCCCAGGATCTCTGTTGGCCAGGTGGAATGGTAGCCTGCCCAGAGTCCATTGGCCTGTAGTCCCCACACACTGGCTTAGAGCCCCTGTCCACTAGGGGGCAGTCCTCTACCAGGTGCCTAGGACAGCACAGCCTTCTCCATTCCCTGGTCTTTTCCCAGGGCAGACCCAAGGTTAGAGTCCCCAATGTAATGAAAACCTTAGAAAGAAATATCTCCCTCCTAGCAGTTTGGGCCCTGGGAGGGCTCCTGCACATGGCAAAGCCAAAGAGTGCAGCTGCCAGGGGGAGGGACACAGGAATGAAGTGATATGAGAGCACCTCTGTTTGTTTCTTTAAAGGTCCCCACCTGTCCTTCCTTCCTTCCTTTTGCAGCCTCCAGCCTGGACACTCAACTCTTGAATCTCCTCTAGGTGGTCACATGCACTACTCCCCAGGACAGCTGGGCTGGGGTGCCCCTGACCAGTGTGGACCAAAGGGCCTCAGGAACTCCTGGCACACCTCAAGGGGTGACAATTCTGAAAGATGAGGCATATTATTTTGCAATTGCTGTGAATTGGGTGGCCTGGCAGCTCTGAAGACACAGAGGGAAAGGCTGCAACCTCACCTACCCTGAGAAATGCAGTGCAGCCGGTTTTCCCAAACAGAGGAGGAAAACTAATGAACAAAACAACGTCAGTCTCCCAGTGAGGTAAAGATGAAGAAGGCGATGTGTCTTGTTTCCTGCAATCTCAGCAAACAGCTACTATCTCCTAATGCCTTACCTTCTCTGATGGCAGTTACGGGTCCAGGTACACCCCCCACACACCACCCCACCCCACCGCCCCACCACCACCCCCCCACCCCCCCCCACCCCTCACCCCTCCGCCCAATTCTCAGGCAAGGAGACTGAAGCACCCCCACCACCCGCCACCCCGCGCCACCCAGGTCCACAGAGGGCAGGATGGCTCCTCCTACCGGGGCTGCACAGCTCCAACCCCCAGGCTCTAGGAAGCCCACCTGAAGCCCAGCCCCAGGTAAGGGGGCAGGGGCGCGGGCGAGCAGCAAACTCTGCTTCCAAGAGGCTCAACGCCTCGTCCGCCCCGCCTCTGTAGCGTCCCTCTCCCTTTTCCCGCAGGATACATGGCGGGGGGCGCATACCACACCTTCTCCAAGGGCAGAAGCGCTGTCCCAGTGCGGAACTTAACCACCTTGCCTCCAGCTTGGCCTCAGCCCGCCCGCACAGTCGCGGCCCGCCAGCGCTGCCACCACCGCAGCCAGCGCCCGCCCTCTCCGCTGTCTTCTGGAGCCGCACCCACCGCGAACCTCAAGTTCCAGGGCTGAAGTAAGGCGCGCCAACCGCTGCTTTGCGGGGCCCACCCAGCCCTTCACGCCAGCAGACTGGAACTACAGGGCTTGCCGACACGTGCTCCTTCTCCCTCTCAACCTTAGTGTCCTCATCCGGCGCGGGCTGTGGCCAAACTGGAGGCAAGGTGAGGAGCTGTGCAGGCGATAACTGACTCTGTCATCTCCTCCTTGTAAGGCGGCTGTGAAGGACCTGAAATGACTGTTGCCTCTTGACGTTTTGCTGGGGAGCCCTTCCAGGCAGACTGCCACAGGAATACTTCTGAGAATAATTGCCTGAGATTCATGCGGTCGAAGAACAGGGAGCTGAGAGGTTGGAGAAATCAGCAAAGGGCTCCAGCACCCGGAAGAGGTGCATTCATTCTCCTGCCTACCTGGTAGGTGTGATCATCCCATTTTACAGATTAGAAAATTGAGCCTCATAGAAGTGAAGTTATTTTTCCAGTCGCCAGGATCATATTTGGCAGGGCTGGCATCTGAACTCCAAATTGAAGCTCCTTCTCCAAGATAATATTGCCCTTGAGAGGGGTAGGCATCTCCTCATCTCCTCATAATAGACATTTTTGGTGAAACCAGCATGCCTCACACTGCCTGCTAGACTCTGTCTTCGTTGGGGAAGGAAACAGCACCCTCTAGTGGCATCAGAGCCCGGCACTCAGGTATGCTAAAGCCCCTGAAGCTCCCCAAGAAAGTAGTCAAGGATGAGACACAGGGAGCCATCTTTCATTACTTTCTGGGTTTCAGGGCTAGAAATGAAGCATATGGAGCTCTGTGGGCCAGAATGCATTCCACAATCACTGGGAAAGGGGCTGGGTAGGATTTTTCCTTCTGCCATAAAAAATGATTGGCTTCTCTGACCTTCTAGAAATTGAGATTGACCCTCTTTAATAGCTTGATAATGGACCTCACTTCCCATCCCTCATTACTGTTTCAGAAAAATCATCTTGGAGCACTAATATCTCAGCTGTGTGCCACCTTCTCCTGCTAGTGAAGAATTTTCATGATCCGTGACCTCTCTTTGACCTCTCCATCTTCAGCAAGTTCTGTGTTCTCCTTGATCCAATGAGGAAGCTGAGGATCAGAAGACTAGAGAATAGGCCATGAGCACTCTCCTTGCTCCCAGTTTCCTAGGATTTGGAATCAGGCCTACTCACTCAGACAGCTAATGTGGGGAGTCCTCACAAGCTTGGCCTCCACGCTGTATCCCTGAACCTCAGATTTCCATTTATAATCTGGAGCTAATACTTAAATCCACTGTGGGCATGGTTGTTAGTAGAGAAGAGATGAGAATATTTCTTAGTATGGTCATTGTCAGATTTGTGTGTGAGTCCCCTCCTTGGCTTCCACTCCCTTCCCCATTCGTGCTAATGAGCAATCTCCTTCATTTCTAGTTTGAACTTTCTCCAGCCCATGTTATAACCCATGCTTCTCACCTGGATTAGTTCAACAAGGTCCTCCTATAAGCTCAGCCATGGTGAACTAAAATCAGTATGAGCCTAGTTTTTTTTCTTAAGCTGTTCTGCTGCTGCCTCCCCAGAGGTGTTCTGTACTTAAATATCATTGAGTGCCAAGTGCCCAGGATTGTAGATGTTGCTTCACTGAGTTCATTTTCCACATGGAAAACTCCTGTTTATTCTTGGAGACTTAGCCCTCTGTGAAGTGTCTCTTCACACCCACTCCCTGCTCATTCTTTTTTTTTTAATTAGCTCATTATAGACATACATAATGTTGGCATTCACTTTGACATAATCATATGTGCCTGGATTATAATTTGCTCTAATTCAGTCCCTCTTCTTCAAAGGATTCCCACCCACCACCATTTTTCCTTCCTTCTTTCCTTCCTCCCTTCCTTCCTTTCTCTCCTTCTTTCTTTCTTATTTTGGACTAATTTCCTCCTATGAGAGAAAAAAATGACCCTAGACTTTCAGAGTCTGGCTTATTTCATTTTACATGATATTCTCCAGTTCCATACATTTACCAGAAAATGTTATTCCATTCTTCTTTATGGCTGAGTCAAACTCCATTGTGTGTGTATATGTATGTATGTGTGTATATGTGTGTGTATATATATATATATATATATATATATATATATACCAAATTTTCTTTATCCATTCTGTTGATGGACACCTGAGCTGATTATATACCCTGGCTACTGTGATTGTGCTGCTATGCACACTGAAATTGCTGTATCACTATAGTATGCTGATTTTAGATCTTTTAGATATATACAGGTGAGTGGAATAGCTCGGGCCATATGATGTTTATATTCCTAGTTTTTTGAGGAATCTCTATGCTACTTTCCAGAGTGATTGTACTCATTTGCAATATCTCTAGCAATGTATGACTTTACCTTTTCCCCCACCTCAACAACATTTATTATTATTTTTATTATTGGTATACACAATTCTGACTGGAGTGAGATGAAATCTCAATGCAATTTTGATTTGCTTTTCCTTAATTGCTGCAGATGTTGAACATTTTTTTCATATATTTATTAGCCATTTGTATTTCTTCTTTTCAGAAGTGTCTCTCTATATATTTGGCCCATTTGGGTTATTTGGAGGGAGGGTTGGCATTATGTTTTTTTTTTTAATTCTTTTTACATTCTGAATATTAATTCCCAGCTGGAGGAACAGTTGGCAAAGATCTTCTCCAATTCTGTAGACATTTTCTTTACATTCTCAAGTGTTTTATCTTCTGTAAAGAAATTTTTAATTTGATATCATCCCACCTGTTGATTTTGGTTTTATTTATTGTTCTTTGGGGTCCTGTTAAGGAAGTCAATGTGTGTGCCCTCTATGTTGGAATGTTGTGCCTACATTGTCTTCTAGCAGTTGCAGGGTCTAATTCCCAGGTCTTTGATCTACTCTGAATTGACTTTTGTGCAGAGTGAAAGATAGGGATCAAGTTTCATTCTTCTACATATGGATATCATGGTTGGCCAATTCCAAATGTTAAAAAGGCTGTCTTTTCTCCAATGTATTATTTTGGAACCTTCTTTAATATCAGATGACTCTCTATATATGTATTTGTTTCTGTGACTTCTGTTCCGTTGGTCTTCATGTATATTTTGGTGCCAATACCAGGTTGTTTTTGTTACTATAGTTCTGTAGTACAATTTGAAGTCCAGTATTGTGATGCTCCCAGACTATTCTTCTTGCTCAGTATTGCTTTGATTTGTCTAGGTCTCTTATTCCAAATGAATTTTAGATTTTTTTATTTCTATGAAGAATATTATTGATATTATGATGGGATTACATTGAATCTGTATAATACTTTGGGTAGTATGGACATTCTGATAATATTAATTCTGCCCATCTAAGAGCATGGGAAATCTTTCCATCTTCTATGGTCTTCTTCTTCTTTTCTTTCTTTCCTTTTCTTTTTTTTTTTTTTTTTGTGTGTGTCTATGTCTCAGACACTATTTATTACAGGAAAATTTTAAAAGAGGTCTGCTGGTGTAATATAAGTATAATGGATTCATTGATGATTGATAAGTTAAAATGTACCTTTATATAATGATATCATTTCCAAGGAGCTCTTTAATACATGAGTTTGATTGATCCTCAAACAAGTGAAGAGGAGGACATGGGGGGTATAGTACCCCCTGGGGGGGGAGATTGTCTTCTTCCCCATGATACCATGGCCAGTGAATGGCAAGTCCAGGACCAACACCCCAGGGCATTCTAGCATAGGTCTTATCACCATGTTCCTATTCATCACAATGACTTGTAATGGTCTGTTTTCTTGTCCTCTTTCTCCACTCCTCTGTAAAGTCTTTAATTGCGTCCACACTGCTGGAAAAATGTCTGACATAGGGAAAGAGGTAAATAAACATTTTTTCTGAGAATAAATAAATGAAAGGATGGATGGATAGATGCATGTGCGTATTTTCCCCCTAGAAGACAATGGTAAGCCTAGTGGTGAACTAGGCAAAGTTTGACTTGGGACACCTGGCATCACCTTGTACCATGCTCTTTGCTTATGAGTTACCCAGGGCCACAGCATATCAGGATTTACATTCTCCATTCAATTTCCATGATCCCAGTCCTTCAATCAATCCTCTCCTGTCCATTCAGACAATCTCAGCCCATATACAGCCCATATCTATCATTACCTGCCTTCAGTGTTTAATTATATTCCTTGTAAAGGGCTTTCACATCCTTAGATTTATTCCTAAGTTTTTTTTGTCTTGTTTTTTGTTTGTTTGTTTGTTTTTTAGTTTATTATGAATGGGTTAGTTTTCCTCATTTCTTTCTCAGAGGAATCATTGCAGAGTACAGAAAAGCAGCTGATTGTGTTGATCTTGTATCCTGGTACTTTGCTAAATTTGTTTATCAGCTCTAGAAGACTTCTGGAGGAACATTTTGGGTCTTCTAGACAAAGGATCATGTTGTTGGCAAACAAAAATAATTTGACTTCTTCCTTTACTACTTGTATCTCTTTAATTTCCTTCTCTTTCCTTATTTCTCTGGATAGAGTTTAAAGGACTATGTTGAATGGGATTAGTAAGAGTTTTTAGAGGAAATAATTTCAGTTTTCCTGTGTTAAGTATGCTGTTCACCCTGAATTTGTCATATATAGTCTTTATAATGTTGAGGTAAGTTCCTCTACCACAAATTTCTCTAGTTTCTCACACAAATAGAGAAAGTGTCAAGTGCTTCTTCTGCATCTATTGAGATAATTGTGTGATTCTTGTCCTTAACTCTATTTACATGGTGAATTGCACATTTATTTATTTGTATATGTTGAGCCAACCTTGCACCCCTTGACCATGGAATACTATCTTCTTAATGTATTATTGAATGTCTTTGCAAATATTTTATTAAGAATTTTTTCATCTGTGTTCATCAGTGTTACTAATCTCAATTTTTTTTCCTTGATGTATCTTTGCCTGATTTTAGAATCAGAGTGATACTAGTTTCATAGAATGAATTTGGCAATATTCCCTCCTTTTTTATTTTGTGGAACACTTTGAGGAGTATTGACATTAGTTTTTATTTTTTTCCAAAGGTCTAGTAGAACTTGGCTTAGAATCCACCTGATGCATCCTTTTTTAGAAGCCTTTTAAAACCTTCAATTCCACTGTTTAATAGTGGTCTGCTTATGTTTTCTTTTCTCTCATAATTCAATTAGGTTAGCTCGTAAGTTTCTAGGAATCTGTCAACATTTTTGAGATTTTTCTAGCTTATTGGAGTATAAATTTCAAACTAGTGTCTAATGATTCTCTGGATTTCATTTTTGTCTGAAGTGATATCTCCTTTTTCATCTCTAATTTTGTTAACTTGATTGATATGTTAAAATGTACCTTTATATAATGATATAATTTCCAAGGAGCTCTTTAATACATAAGTTTGATTTTCTCTTTTGGTTATTTTGGCTAAAGCTTTATCAATAATGTTTATCTTTTCAAGGAATGAGCACTTGGTTTCATTGCTCCTTACTTTGTACTTTTTTTATTCTCACTTTCATTAATTTTGGCTATGATTTTAATTACTTCCTGTCTTCTACTGATTTTTGGTATTAGTTTGTT